ATGGCCTGTTTTTTCCGGCGTCGGAGGAGACGATGGTGACGGCCCCACTGTTCCCAGTGGTCACGGCCCCGCTCGACGCAGCAACAAGGCCGCCTCCTGTGTCTCCGGTGCCAGCTACCATGGTCAACGCACCCCCGACAGCTTGAGCGCTTGTCCCCGCTGACATACTCAGGTCAACCCCCTACACCAGAGTCACCCCACCCAGCCGCCGGGCGCCACCCACCGTCTCTCCTTCACCCTCCGTCACCGTCATCGCCCCGCCCGTCGTCCCGGTGCCTTGACTGGCCATCATCCTGAAAGACCCGCGCGACGACCGTGCGCCCGCCGCCAAGCTGACCGACTCACCCGTCCATGTGGTGCCCGTTCCCGCCGCCATCGACACAGGACCTCCCGTCACACCCGTGCCGGCCGCCAATGTCAGCGTCCCGCCTGTGGCTGACCGACTCACCCGTCCATGTGGTGCCCGTTCCCGCCGCCATCGACACAGGACCTCCCGTCACACCCGTGCCGGCCGCCAATGTCAGCGTCCCGCCTGTGGCTGACCGACTCACCCGTCCATGTGGTGCCCGTTCCCGCCGCCATCGACACAGGACCTCCCGTCACACCCGTGCCGGCCGCCAATGTCAGCGTCCCGCCTGTGGCTGACCGACTCACCCGTCCATGTGGTGCCCGTTCCCGCCGCCATCGACACAGGACCTCCCGTCACACCCGTGCCTGCCGCCAATGTCAGCGTCCCGCCTGTGGTGTAGGCGCTGGTGCCCACCGCGAGACTCACCACCGCGCCAGCTCCCGACGTCGCCGTGCCACTGCCGACGAGCGCCAAGCCGCTGGTGTCGGAGCTGGTGGTACCCCAGCTCAACACAATGGTGCCGCTCGCGGTCTCCGTGCCGGCGTCGCGCGATCGGATGGTGATAGCGCCGCTGATGGTGGCCGTACCCTCGCCGCTGGTGATGGTCACCGTTCTCCGGTGGCCGTGGTAGACTCACCGGGCGCCATCTGGACCAGACTGCCCTCGCCGGTGTCTCCGCTGGCCGCCATCAAAGTCCGATCACCTCGTCGCGCTGCCCCATAGGACGGCAGTGGAAAGTCGACACCGCACCCTTGGGGGAAGGCGGAGGAGACGGGGAAGACGTGAGGGAATGAACAGCATCGCTTGACGGGTCCATGCAGCAAACATTCGTGTCTGCTGGTGTCTGCTCCTGAAGCTTTCAACGAGAGGAGGGCCTCCATGATGGCTGGGGGGCTTCGGGAAATCGGGTCTACGACAAACGCACGCAAAAGCCGTCATGTGTCCTCACCAATTCGTCCATTGCTCCCGATCACATCCAGCAGGATGCGGCCGCGGAAGGTGTGGCCTCAACCACATGTCGGCTGCGGCCCTCGGAGCGCTGTCCAATAGGGCAGCCGTGGAAAGCCGTCACCGCACCCTGGGGGGGAGGCGGAGGAGACGGGGAAGACGTGAGGGAATGAACAGCATCGCTTGACGGATCCCTGCGGCAATTATTCGTGTCTGCTAGTGCTTGCGCCCGAAGCTTTCAACGAGCGAATGGCCTCCATGATGGCTGGGGTCCTCCAGGAAATCGGTTCTACGACGAATGCACGCGAAAGCCGTCATGTGTCCTCACCACTTCGTCCATTGCTCCCTAGCACATCCAGCAGGATGCGGCCGCGGAAGATGTGGCCTCCAACGAGACGTCGGCTGCCGCCCTCGGAGCGCTGACGGTCGTGGAAAGCCGACACGACACCCTGGGGGGGAGGCGGAGGAGACGGGGAAGACGGGGAAGACGGGGAAGACGTGAGGAAATGAACAGCATCGGTTGACGGATCCCTGCAGCAAATATTTGTGTCTGCTAGTGTCTGTTCCTGAAGCTTTCAACGAGCGAAGGGCCTCAATGACGACCGGGGGTTTCGGGAAATCGGGTCTACGGCGAATGCATGCAAGCCGTCATGTGTCCTCACCAATTGGTTCATTGCTCCCTAGCACATCCAGCAGGATGTGACCGCGGAAGATGTGGCCTCGAACATATGCCGGCTGCCTCCCTCAGAGCGCTGTCCCGTAGGGCGGCCGTGGAAAGCCGACACCGCACCCTGGGCAAGACGAGGGAGGGAGGCGGAGTGTATGGGCTGGACGGAAATGAACAGCACCAGTTGAGGGATCCCTGCAGCAAACATTCGTGTCTGCTAGTGTCTGCTCATGAAGCTTTCAACGAGAGGAGGGTCTCCATAACGGCTGGGGGGCTTCGGGAAATCGGTTCTACGTTGAATGCACGCGAAAGCCGTCATGTGCCCTCACCCGTCGCCGATTCCTTCTTCGGACATCCAGCAGGATGTGACCGCGGAAGATGTGGCCTCGAACATATGTTGGCTGCGGCCCTCGGAGCCCTGTCCAATAGGGCAGCCGTGGAAAGCCGACACCGCACCCTGGGGGGGAGGCGGAGGAGACGGGGAAGACGTGAGGAAATGAACAGCACCGGTTGACGGATCCCTGCAGCAAACATTCGTGTCTGCTAGTATCTGCTCATGAAGCTTTCAACGAGAGGAGGGACTCCGTGATGGCTGGGGGGCTTCGGGAAATCGGTTCTACGGCGAATGCACGCGAAAGTCGTCATGTGTCCTCACCCGTCACCGATTCCTTCCTCGGCCATCCAGCAGGATGCGACCGCGGAAGATCCGGCCTCAAACAACACGTCGGCTGCCGCCCTCGAAGCGCTGTCCCATAGGGCGGGCGTGGAAAACCAACACCACACCCTGGGCAACACGAGCGGGGTTGGCGGAGGGGGTGTGGCAGACGTCAGCAACTTTACAGCGTACGGTGATGCCTGCTTGTCACGGTTAGGACGAGCGAGCAGACCCCGGGACCATGCGCTGGACATGCACAAAGATTCACGATTCCCGAACAGAAGCAAGCATTAATATCCTGCCCATCAGCACACGAACGTGTTGCCAAACGGTTTGTGGTGGTGAACGCTTGCGGTCAAGGGTGAAAATGTACGAGTCGGAGGCCTTGACTCTCTCGATCTCCTGCCCTGATGCGATTATCCCCGTCACGCGCCCTGTTTCAGCAGGTGTGGTTGAACTTTAGGGCATTTTCCTTACCACGCGAAGACCTACCGCCAATCCCCAAGAAACCACCACACTGGCTTTGGTGGCGCTTGCCAAGCCCACGTCGCCCAACAATGGCCGTGGGCATGCAGTGGTTGTGGTGGAGGGTAGTCCTCCTCGGAACAACGCCCGACATGAACCAGCGCACGCAGAGGTACCAGGGGCGTCTGGGTATCTGTATTGCACAGTAGACACACTATGCAAATACAGCGCAGCAGCGGACGGCGTGAGGAGAGGGAAAACAAACATGAACGAAAACGTAAGGAATATAGAAGAGTGGCGGTCCAAAAGTACTGGTGGGGGACGGAAAGCGGGGTGGGCGATGAGAAATCGGGTGTTTGCACTTGCACCTGCGGTGGTGTACACTAAAGACATGGATTGGATGGAGTCCGGTTTTGTCTTTTGCAGGCATGCTGCTTGTACCTTCAGACAAGAAGATTATCTCTACACATCGGGGCAGCAGTGATTGCTACGTGCGGCATACATAACATCTTGTGGGACGATCAAACAAACACAATGTTTCCCATTGTTTCAATCTACGACACACAAGCCGTCGCTCTCTGCGTGCAAATTTCTTCTACTCTCGTTTTAGAGCATACCAAGTTTTTTTTTGAGCGAAATTCAAACGACAGCGCTGGGTCCGCTCAATGCTGGTACGGCCAGACACCTCACCTGCCCCCTTCTCCGCCCCCAGACTCGTTGGCCACTCTGCGGTTTGGTCCCCATCAGGCCGCACACAGGGCGCGAGGTCACCCACGCTTGCCTTGCGACTCCCCTCGATCTCGCTCCTTCCCTTCCCCCCCCCCGCCCCCTGAGCGGTACAAAATGGTGGCGCACGCTCATGACAGCCCACAGTTCCCCCGACCGCGCGACCTGTCCCCTCCGACGTTTCCGGCGCTCGGAGTGAGCTTCGAAACTACGACTCCGCCTTCAGCCTTGCGCCTCCCTACGACACAGCACACGCACGCTCGTTGTCCGGACACGAACTTCCGCCCCCGCGCTCAGTGCACACACGCAGAGATGAACGACAAAAGCGCAAAACCTAAAGTTGCCAATCCAGGCAGGCTCAGAACCTACCTCGTCGTTAGGGCGTTTGCTCTCCAGGTGGATCTTGCATCGACAAGGACTGCCCTAGGCTAGGTCTCACACCCTAAATAATAAAAAATCTAGGGCTGCCCGGTTATTCCTCGACGACACGCGAAAAGAAGAAAAATAGAGAAAGTTTGGGCTTACGCCCCGCCACAAAATGGACCGCTGCCGAACGTCCCCCCCAAAACGCAGAGCAAATGAGAAAGGCGCTTCTGCTGACGTCGCTGCATGATATGAAACCAAACACAACATGGCTTCTAACAGCTAGCAGCCAAACGCACCCCTCATTCACAAAACAAAACAAGCAGAACACAAATAAAAATTCACTTCTGCATCGACTGCAAGCCGTAATGGACCAATGACTTCTCGCATCAGGCTAGAAAAAGAACGAACACCCACGAGCTCGCCCACGGAAAAAAAATGTAACCCGTGCATGCGCCTGCAGACAATCCATTGGATGCCGCAACGAAATAAAGAGAGGGGCGGTAGCGAGCGGCGGGGCGGACGGAGGGCGGCGGCGATTGTCAATACTCTGGGCTAGGAACCGCACGAAGTTACCGCTGCGGGTGAACCCGAACGTTTTTCTGAGAGCTTGCAATCCCGAAGAGACGGTTTTCTATGGAGTGGGCAATACGACGGTCGTGTAGCGCAAGAACAGTGCTGGGCAAGTCAATTATTCTATTTATGTTAAGCCAGCAGATCGTACTTGCACTAACTTTTGGTATCCACACAGTCAGATGGTTCACCCACTTACAAGAAAGCTGTGACTTTTGGGCGCAAACATCACAAACCTTCTGTGCCCGGTCCAC